GTTACTCGGAGGAGGGCTTTCTCAGCGGTGGCGCCTAAGTTATGGAATGCGCTCCCCAGAGAGGTCTGCCTGGCGCCGTCGTTATTTGTTTTTCGGTGCCAGGTGAAGACCTTTTTATTTAAGCAGTATTTTAAATGTTAATATTATTGAATTTTATTTGGCCAGGGCGGCTTGTTTTATATTGTATGTTTTATATATTTGTATTTTATTGTATATATTTTAAAATGTTATTTTAATTTTTTGTTGTAAGCCACCCCGAGGCTTCGGCGAATGGGGCGGCATAAAAATGTTTTAATAAATAAATAAATAAATAAAATAAACTATTGAAGTGCTTGCCTTTGTTGGGAAGGGACACCTAGCTCACAACACAGAAGTGGTCTCAGATGTGATCCTGAGGCTGATGATTTTGGAAACATCAACATTCAAGGCAAGAACACCTTGTCTGGGGCAGTTCAGCAGTTCATGCTCTCCATAAAAACTGTGGACTATCCCAACGTATCATTTGCCTAATGTACACTCTAGACTTAGGTTTTTCAGCTAGCCATGGGCATCTGAGGATGGGGGACTTTGAATTGGTTCCTTTGTCATGGTTAGATCATTGCCTCCTGCAGTTTAGACTGACAGTAGCTTTTCCTATCTGCAGGGGTGGGAAGCCTATTAAGATGGTCTGTTTCTGGAGGCTGATGGATCCAGTTTCCAGAATGTTGTAGAGGGGTTTCCAGCTGACCCAGCTGGTGGTCCTGTTAAAAACCTGGTCAATCTCTGGAACACAGACATAACCTGACCAGTTATATGTTTTTTTTAATTTGTGTAATACAATAAAAACCAAAGCATACCATTGGAGAGGGAAAGAAAGGGCACCTCAAAGATCCATATATTTATCCTTTTGTTGTTGTTGCTAGTCACAAAGTCATGTCTAACCCTCATGACCCCATGGACAACATTCCTCCAGGCCTTCCTGTCTTCCACCATCCCCCGGATGGTCCATCTAAGCTCACACCGATGGCTTCAGTGACTCCATCTAGCCACCTCATTCTCTGCCATTCCCTTCTTCTTTTGCCATCTAGTGTTCCCAGCATTAGGCTCTTCTCCAGGGAGTCCTTCCTTCTCATTAGATGGCCAAAGTATTTGAGTTCATCTTCAGGATCTGGCCTTCTAAAGAGCAGTCAGGGTTGATCCCCTCTAGGATTGACTGGTTTGATCACCTTGTGGTCCAAGGGACTCGCAGGAGTCTCCTCCAGCACCACAACTCAAAGGCCTCAATCCTTTGGTGCTCAGCCTTCCTTATGGTCCAACTTTCACAGCCATGCATTGCAACTGGGAAAACCATAGCCTTGACCATACACACTTTTGCTGGCAGCATGATGTCTTTGCTTTTTAGTATGCTGTCTAGATTTACCATAGCTTTCCTCCCAAGGAGCAAGTATCTTTTAATTTCTTGGCTGAAGTCCCCATCTGCAGTGATCTTGGAGCCCAGGAAAATAAAATCTGTCACTGCCTCCATTTCTTCCCCATCTATTTGCCAGGAAGTGATAGGACTGAATGCCATGATCTTAGTTTTCTTAATGCTGAGTTTCAAGCCAACTTTTGCACTCTCCTCCTTCACCCGCATCAAGAGGCTCTTTAGTTCCTCTTCACTTTCTGCCATTAGAGTGGTATCATCTGCATATCTGAGGTTGTTGATATTTATATACTATATCATATATATACTATATTGAGGTTGTTGATATTTGTATCTATTTGTATACTACATCAAAAGGCCACTCATTCAAAAATCAAAATTTTCTATCTACCGTGTTCCTGCCAGATGGCCATTTATCCTCCACTGTTGGAATTTTAGCTTTTCAACAGTCAAAAGGATACAGAGAATTCATTTACATTGATCTTACATGAAATTCCAAGAGATGGGTAGGTCATTCAAAAGAATATTTGTATCCTTAAATATTTTTAAAAATCCATCACAAAATTTATTTGAATGATTACCTCCTCCCAAAAGGAAGCACAATTTGGCATTGTCAAAAGATAACAAGAAGAGAAGTATTAGCAGCGTTGCACCTCCAACAAGCAGTTGAGTAGATTAAATCCTTATCTAAGAGATGTTGAAGCATCCAGTATACTTGAAGCATCATTTTTTCTGAATTAAGCATAGGCTGAGAGCCACAACCTCTTGCAAAATAGATTACAGATGCACGGCATCTGTTGGGCAAAATGAGGTGCTCCAGTTCTTTATTAAGCCAGTATGGGAGTGGGATTCAGGAGAGCTAGGTTCTAGTCCCCACTCAGCCATGAAATTTATTGGGTGACTTTGGGCACTCTCAGCATAATCTACCTCACAGAGTTGTGAGGATAAAATGAAGAGAAAAGCTTTCTAAGTTGCCTTGCCTTCCTTGCAAGAGGAAAAAGGTGAAAATATAAATGCTGTGTAATAATTATATTATTTCTATGTTATTAATAGCTGAGACCTGTGTATCATATTTATTCACTTATTGTATTTATAAACATGAATTGTAGGCTGATATAGCAGCTTGGTCTTGATCAATATTTCCAGTAACACAGACAACTTTGAAGCTGGAAATGAAGTAGGACCAAATTTAGAGTCTAACAAGTTGCATATATTGCCATGCAGCTGTAGCTGACAATTTATCAACAGGACCAACAAGCTAGTCTAAAGTAAAAATCAGCCTGTCCTTCCAAGTCTGCCAAACAATTGTTTTCTCACCCATTGTTAAATGTAGGCTTCCCCATAGAGTTAATTTTGCACGTGAAAATATGTCAAACTGCAACTGTCATGACAATTTACACCACAGCTTGTTCGCTGCCACAACTGGAGGAGGCACATTATCTATGCTGGTATGATGCAACCCCAATGCATTCCATCTGGCAGGAGGATTCAGATATGAAGATTCAAAAACTGACCAGAGAGAAAAATCTACTGTAGTTGGAAAAGACCAGAATCTAGTGAAAGTCAGCCAATGGTTTAAGGAAAGACCACAGAGTCCAAATCTACCTTCTTTGAAAATTACATCTTTTCAAAACATATTTCTGGCAGAGTAGAATCTCATAAAAATTATAAAACATTAAGCTTCTGTAAATACTCGCTAGGTATAAATAAAGGAATACAACATAAAACAATTAGGTATTACATTCAGTTTAAGTGTGTTTACCCTATTCCATTGGCTTAACTTTAAAGATACCCATCTGTCAATGGGCCTTTGAGATCTCATTAATCAACTTACTCCAATTTAATTTAATCATTTGTGATCTTTCTCTTGAGACAAGTATTTCCAAGTAATATACTTAACACAAATTCTGAATTGCCAGTTAAGTAACACACTATAAATGTCTAAAATTATTCTCGGCATCAAAGCCGGAACAGATGACTTGGGATGTTTTGTTCACCATCCTATGTAACACCTACATGAAACTACCGAGTGGGCTCATTCAGAGTTTTGGGGAGTGCTGTCATCAATACTTTGAAGACACACAGCTCTATTTCTCTTTTTCATCCTTATTAGGTGAGGTTCTGGGTGTACCAAACTGGTGCCTCGCTGCAACAACGATGAGAGATAACAAACGGAACCTTAATCCAGACGAATATGAAATGCTTTTAGTGGGTGGTTCTTCTGATTGCATGGAGAGCATCCAACCAGGTCTGGATGGGGTTATACTCTCTCTAAAGGAGCAGGTTGGTAGTTTAGGGATCCCCCTGGAGCCATCTTTGTCATTTGAGTCTCAGATGGCCTCAGTGTCCAACTGGGCAGGGATACCTTGATTTCAGTGATCTATTCTCTGATAATCTCTAAATTAGATTACAAAAATGTTTGTTTGTTTCTGTATTGGTCAACAACCAAAGCCCTGTGGGTGATTCACATCAGCATATTTAAAAAACAATAAAAATACACCAATTAAAACATAAACCATAATTAAAGTAAGCAATACAAAATTTAAAACCAATTTAAAATCCCATAAAAACAGAAAAATAAAATTATACATTAAAAACACCCTGCTAAAACCTGTCTAACAACCAGCAAGCCCCTGTAACTAATTAAATGCCCTGCAGTAGAAGATGATCTTTAACTGGTGCTGTAAAGGTAGTAAAGTTGGTGCCAGGCAGACCTCAGTGTGGAGCTGGGGGGAGGGGGGGGAGCACCACTGAAAAGGCACCCAACAGAAACATCAAGAATTCAGTTAAATTGGCAGATTAGGCAATCTTGTTTTCTACAGCCTTACATTCACTGCAAACTTGGAAACGTTTTCCATGCAGCATTTAATAGCAACAGATGCATTTGCTTAGCTAAAGATTGCATTTTTCAAGTCACAAATTTCAAACCTAAGTGGTGGGCACTCCCTTTCTGGCCTGCTTCTAAGGGCCTGAAGATCATGGTGGAAAGAAGAAGGCTGATCTTGATGAACCTTTGATCTGATCCAGCAGGGCAATATTTCTGTTTTAGTTTGCGATATTGCTTAGTGAAGCAACATACCCACAAGATAACTCCACAACAGAAATACAAAGACACCTGTATGTAGAGGCTTTTAAAATGGGATAGGTAGATAATGACTCTCCAGATGTTTAGGACATTCCTGACCATTTGACCATGCTTCTGAGAGTTGAAGTCACAAGCATCTAGAGATCCACCTTCTGCCCAACACTGCCTTAGAAGATCTCCCACAAATAGAAAAAAAAGTCTCACTTACCAAAGTCTCAATGTTTGTACTCAGCTCTCTAAAATCTTTTGAGGTCTGTTTTTCCAAATTAGGATGGTATTGTACATTATTGATTCTAAAGGAAACACTGTAATAGAACAATTTCTGATCTGCACAGGGAAAGGGAAACAAAAGAAAACAAAGAAGTTAACAATTTCATATTCACCTTTTGGATGCCAATCATGGTGCTCCCAAATCTATCTAGCAAGAGAAAGGACAGTAGAATTAAAGGAGGTATGGCTGGCCTATACTATGCAGGAATATAAGCATTGCCACAAGCTGATTTCCTGATAAGTGGAGTTCTAGGGCTCTATTGCCACCAGACTAGCTGAAATACTTCCCCTCTCATGAGGAAACCATCAAAAATCTTTTTCTCAGACAGTGCTTAGAGCTGTCAGATCTCCAGGTCTGAGGTGAAGTTCCAGGGTTAGCCTCCTTCTCATTGACTGGGTTTATATGACAAGACAACTCATCATGGTTGCTACAAAATAGGTTGTCATGTCATGTGAATAGGAACCAATTTACCCAAGGTAGCTTATTCGTGGACAACTAATCACACCAGGAACCCATGTGGTGTTGTTATAGTGACCAACTCAAATGTGCCTATGAAGAATCATCTACTGAGCTGCTTGCCAAAGAAGGAATATCCTTGCTACCCTTGCCAAGTGGTTCTCAAATGGCTGTCTGAGCCAGCTATTCCAAAAGTGCATAAGTAGCACTCGGGGCAACTGGCACTGGCTTCCACGCTTCCCCACCACAGTTGTGGGCCATTTCAAGTAATCCACATTTTGACATCTATAGGCAGTCCCTTCAAAGTGGCCCAACAGTACCTTGTGGGGGGCAGGGCTGTCTGTGGTTGCAAAGCATTTAATTTTGGCCATTTTTCACGAATATTGTATTTTTAAAAAAACTTTACCCACACTAGTGCAGCTGCAGATTTTGCAGTTGCACAAGTGTGAAAATGAGGACTGTGTGTAGTTGTCAAAACAGGGATTGTGAAAGGTGGTTTTCAGCATTTGATGAAAAAGAGTTTGAATGGGGGGAGAGGCTGTAGGGGCCTGACACAGTTCATGGTCCATGTGTGAGTGGAGCAACCACTTGGTCCTGCCACAGTGTGCCCTGGGCTACCTGAAAAGGACCAATGGGGGAAGGGGGAGAAAATGTGCCAACAACTCATGGAGAGCCCAGCCATGAGCACATCAAAGGTTGTTCTCACAACAACTTATCTACCATGGCTTAGTCCCAGGGTGGGTTAAAATGAAGTGCAAACATGACCAGGCCTAAAACAGCAATGTAAAAGGTCAAATCAGGGGAAGTCTACTTTTTATTAGGCTTAAATTTGTCATTTGCCATATATAAAAAATCCTGAGGAACCAGACCCAGCCAGATTTTCCTCTTGAGTCATCAGGCACTGGTCTCTCCTTCCAACAGCTCACTGAGTTCTGCCTTTACTCTGCCAGGCACCAGTGTCAGTTTTAGGCTTTGTCCTCTGCATCTCAGTGCCTAAGCCTCAGAAAACGAGCAGTTCTAACAGTGCTCCATGTGACATGGAATTACACAATGACATGACCCTGCCTTGGATGATTCACAAGCAGAAAATAGAGATGACTCCAGAACCCAGCAGCTGAAAAGACTGCTTCATGAACATCTCTGTTTGCAGTAGTCCCATTAGATAAACTAGCTGAAGAAAGAAGCAAACTGGGTAAAAGCATTTGCCTTGTTGGGGTCCTTTTGAATCTTAGGACAGTGTCCTTCCTAAGGTAGGACTACATTTAGAACAAACCTGAATGACACCATTCTAACTGCTGAGGAATTTAAAATGTAGACTAGTTCAGCGGAAACAGATTGATAATAATTGATGCACTCACCATATATCAAAAAATATACAAGCAACCCAATGACAATGGCTAAGGCCACCAGCACTGCTAGGACAATCAACGCAATCATCCATGGCTCCAGAAATTTCGTTCTTGTTACAGACCTAGCCATTCTGAAAAGAATATGCAAAAATAAGTTTTTGAAGGAAAAAAAAATAGAAATCTGTTAAGTAGGCAATTAAATGCCCTACTCAGAAATTAATAACATGGATTTTCAATCATATTTTGTTGCCTTCTGTGAACATAAGCAGGCAAGGGCGTCTTTGTAAGCGTGCACCTGATAATTCAGGGAATACATTTAAGTGGCCCTTCTTGTCAATTGGTCCATAGTACTTAAGTGAAACTGCTATATTTACTAAGATCTCATGTGCTTCAAAGCCCTATTCAGGCATTAATCCTGAGGCAGTTGGCATTCAAATGAAGTGGTGCGCTAGGTTGTACCTACTGTACTGGCCCTCTTCCATCCATGCACTGTGGGGCACGTCTGCAAAGAGGTACCTGCTCTATACATGTAGGCTCCTCTGCAATTCGGAATAGTGCACGATTAGGGCTCTAAATTATAGTGGAAGCCTATATATTGATCACCCCAACCACGTATGCGCCCCTTGCAAAATGTGGACCACCTGCTTTCCAGCTTCATAGATGTGCCAATTCTGTGAGGAATTACTCCTGAATAGGACTCAAGGGTCTTTATTTAATAAGGCTAGTTCCTTGTTTTTGCGATGTGCCCCCACAAAATCATTGCTCTTGTTTTGTCTATACTTTTTGTGAGATTTTGAGGGTCCTTCATTAATCCCTGAAAAACTGGAGTGTGTGAGATCAGCGGGAATGTTAGTGTATATCATAGCCCCAATTGCAATGTCAGTTTATTGCTTCTAATGATTACCTGGTCATCCTCCAAGTGCTACTGACAGCTACCAAGAATGAGGATTCTTAGTCATTTATCACTATAGCTTGACCCTAGAAAATGAATACGGTTCTATCAATTACCCTCAACTTATCAAAGTACTGGACATATCTTTTTATACATGTAATATACACTATACATTCAGAGAATGAACACTTCTTTAATTTGAAAGAATTGCAAAAGGTTCATCATACATTTTGTCAAACCAGGTCAAAATCCAAATGCTTCCATTGTTTTGGATAGGGAATTCATAATATTGGCTTTTGCTTCAAAGTAGGCATTTTTGTACAATAATCAGTTGAATTTTGCCTTAGCCTTACATAAAATATACCCACTGAAATTAATGGGCCTTACTTTAGCTCATTAGCTCACATTTATTTTAGTGGGTCTCCTTGAATTATGCAGGATTAAGTCTTGATCCATCCCATTCTTTGTAAGTAATGTTTTGATCTTGAAATTTACAGCTGGATGGGAAGGCTGGAAAGCTAGAGTCAGGTAAATAAAAAGCACACAAATTACAAAGTAAGATGTTTGGGTCTTACTGTTGGGACCTTCAATTTAAGACTTTTGATACTGTCATACTAGGAATGTTAGCTCTTTAGCTATAATTTTGATGATCCATTCTTTTTTAAAAAATCTTGCTTTCCAGAGAGGTAAACTGGAGGTCATTTTATATCACAATAACATTAGTTCTTATCAGTAATAATACCAACTAGCATTTATATAGTACTTTCAAAATATTCAAATCACTTCACACATTAGCTTGTTGTAATAATTACAACCTTACACAGGATGTAAGTTTTACAAAGCTTCTTATTATACAGTAGGTTTATCAGGGGTTGTTTAACTCACAATCATTCAAGACACATGATGGAGTGTATACTGTATTTCCCCGAAAACAAGACCTAACCAGAAAATAAGCCCTAGCATGATTTTTCAGGATGCTCGTAATATAAGCCCTAACCCAAAAATAAGCCCCAGTTAAGATCATCAGCCAGACGGATGCATTTAGTACTTCTGTTGCAACACACAACAGATGTATTGAATTTTAAAATAATAATATTAATATATAATTGCATATACATAAATAATAATACTGACATTAGTACTTAAAATAAATGATAATATAAATTATAATTAAGTATTTGTAAATACCCAAGCGGGCACCTTTGGACAAGAGGTAAACGCCTATGTAAACAACAAGTGAACTCGAGACTTATTGCTGAATGACCAGAGTACAGACACAACACACGAATAACATGCGCACTTGATAACGAACTGATGTGTTTCATAATTCAATACATTGTGTGTTGTAACAGACGTACTTAATGCACTTGTGTTGCCACTCCTGTCTCTTGATTTAATGGTAGATTTAAAGGGAATAATATTTTGACCCTCAGACAAGATGAGTGCAAAAAGGAAGAGCCATCCCAAATTGTGGAGGACTCTCAGGGCAAGAACCTTACGGCTTTTGTAAGAAAGAATAAGACTTCACCTGAAAATAAATTTGGAGCAAAAATTAATATACAACTTCGTCTTATATGCTGGGAAATGCGGTAGGAAATATTTGGAATATGCAATTCCAATTTAAGGGTTGTTGTTTCATCCAAATCCAGCCATTGAGGTTTCTGTGAGCATTTAACAGCCCTGAGTAACCTTCTGTTTGTTGTAGAATTATGCACAGACTGAAACTTTTGGGCTTGAACATTTACCAGTTTTGTTTCCTTACCATTTAGACTACCTCATAATTTGCTCTAATGCTCCATCCAACTCAGTAATAGCAAAACAACCCTAAATCAGTTCATACATGCATGTTCAACTTTATTTATTTAATATATACTTGTGTTGCCTTCTCCTTGCTGCCAACTCCCCTGCATGATGTTCAAGGCTGCTAACAATAAAATCCAGATTTACAAAATCTTAAATCTTAGTTTAAAACCTACATAGAAACAAATTATAAACACAACAGTGAAAGAATAGCACCCAACCAATTAAAACTCCAGCAACAAACCAGTTTACATGCCAAAGTCCTGCCAGAATAAAAATAATATTCTGCAAGTAAAACAAAACAAAAATAATGCAGAAGGTCCATAAAGATTGGCTAACTGGGCTATCTGTAGTAGGGTGTTCAGCAACCTGGACACCACAATGGAAAAGACCCTGTCCAGTGTCCTACCAGGGGTAAAAATAGGTATGAAGCAGGACCTCCAATAGTTATCATCAGTGTTTTGTAAAAGAAAAAAAAAAAGGTGCCGGAACTCACATAATGGTTGCCACCAGAAGTAAGCACTCAGCACGCAACCATACACACCAGTCCCAAGCTCCACACACACCAGTCCCAAGCTAAGCAGTGTCCTCACAATCAGCACGGACACACAAGCAGCCCACAGGCGATTCAAAATCACTCCACTGGAAAAATCTGTCAAAAAAAGGTGCCGAAACACCGTTCCAATGCGTTCTATGACAAAAAAAGCCCTGGTTATCACAATGGATAGGAAGGCTCCTGTGGAAGAAGGGTAGTTCTTTAGATATCTTGGTTGCAAGTCATTAAAACTTCATAGACGATAGCCAGCACATTCAACTGTGCTTGCAAACAGATTGCACAAATGCCTGACTATCCATTTTGCACCAGGTCAAGTTTCTCAGAAGTAATCTCACTCAGAGTGAGTTGTAACAATTAAGCCTGGGTGGGATGAAGGCAAGTGTGACAACAGTCAGATCTGCCTTCTCCAAGAAAGGGTGTAGTTGGCACACTAGGCGAAGCTGTTTGGATGCATCCCAGCTTATAACCACCTGATTATGCAGGAGCATCCCCCAGACTACAAAACCAAGAAGAATGCAATCCCATTCAGAAACAGATTTTATTTGTAACCTTGGATCTGTTCTCCTACTGTTCATTAGCATCTCCATCTTATCTCAACTTGGTTTCAGTTTATTAGTCTAACTCCACTTAAACATCATTTCAAGAAATCAATTCAGTTCAATAAATCTAGAGTGATGTAGTGGTTAGATCACTCATCTTAGCCTAACCAACCTCCCAGGGTTGTTGTGAGGTTAAAATAGAGAGGAGGGGTACTATATAAGCCAGTTTGCCTTCCTTGCTAGGGAAAGAAAGGTGTGATGCCTAAAGTAATCATAGTAATAATTTTAAATCCTCTCTGGGCTCAAATAGAAAAGGGAGATAGAGTTTAGTATCATCAGGATACTACTGACATTAGGCCCCAAATGACAGGAGCTTCATAAAATGTGAAATAACATAGGTATTCACGTGTTACTTCTTTTCCTTATATCAGAGATGGGGAACTTTGGAGGGTTCAAATTGCCTTCCTAGAGCCCAGGGCTATAATCCTGCTGCTATTGCTATCAAATTGCAATAATGTGTTACCAAGGAAAAAACCTCCCTGCATTTCCTTTAAACCACTGTGTGTGGAAATACTATACCTTGTTTTAATGCAAAATTGTATTTCCAGAAACCTAAAGACAGATAATCTTTTTCATGAAAATTAAAGGGGGGCATTCTGCATTTGCCTTGTTCTAAAAGGGTGGGGGGGGACACTTTTTCCTCATTGCTGCCACACACACAATTCAGTGGCAATTCAGCAGCACAGTGACATTAATTTTAGACTGGTGGAGACTGCCCAAAAGGATGAGGGCTGTCTACAACCCAGGAAGCACAAGGTGAACACCTCTGCATTATATGAACATGTCATTATAAATCCAGCTCCATCAGAAGTATTTACATACCTCCTTGCATATTCAAGCATACCCCTTTTCAAAGGAGTCAGTTCACATACTGAGTGGGATCATCAGCTCTGGAAGATTTAAGCAATGAGGAAACATAGAAACTGAGCGAGTCAGAAGGGACCTCCTAGGCCATCTAGTCTGACCCCCAGCTCCAGTCGGCCCCACTCATGACATGCCTACCAACCCCACATGGCCTTTTTCACAGAGCTCAGGAAATACAAGAATGATGCACATGTACCCATTTCCAGTTCCCACTGAAAAGCTGCGATCTGGGTGTCTGAACAATGACATAGATGGGGAGACCCCTAACCCTACCACTCTACTGGGAAAGTCCAACTTGCCTACCACTGATTATTACCCTAACAGGGAACATCAAGTCCCAGTCAAATCGCACTGCGCCAAAGAGAACTTGCTCTTTGCTTTGGCTCCTGGATGCCAATATCAAGAACACAGTAAGTAAGGGCAAGAAGAAATAGGACTGAACCTGCATTGGCAGCTTCAGGATTCTTCTGTATTCCATGGAAAGTGCTTTTGGTTCCAGAAAATAATAGTTGCTGGGCTGCTTTAGTATCCTTAGATCAGGGTGCCACATAGGAATGGCTAGCTTGCTACAGTCTATCAACTGAATCAAATAAATAAATAAATAAATGAGGTAGACAGGCAGGGTGTGATCGGGATCACCAGGGGCTTTGATGCCTTGGGGAAGAAACTCAGAGAACTAAAGGCCCAGGTGGCCTTCTCATCTACCTTACTAGTCCGAGGATTTGGATCAGGCAGGGATAGGAGGGTCACCAAGGTGAACGACTGGCTTAGGGTGTGGTGCCAGAAGGAACACTTCGGGTTCCTCAACCACGGCACCCGGTTTCTTGCCTATGGACTTCTGGCAAGGGACGAGTTGCACCTCACGAGGATGGGGAAAAGTTCCTTTGGAGATGCTCTAGCAAGCTTTGCCCGGAAGACTTTAAACTGAGCCGGGGCGCTGGACAAGTGTGGGGAGAGGATCAGGGCTCTGGGAGCAGGATTTAAGAGGTACTGCAGGGACTGACAGGACTCCTACAAAGAGAGGGCCGGTATCAGGGAAGATGGGAGGAAGGAGGAGGCTGGGGACTCCAAAGAAAGGAATCGGTGGGAAGGAGTTGAGGTGCATGTACACTAATGCTAGGAGCATGGGTAATAAGCAGGAAGAGCTTGAAGCACTCGTGGGAATAGGAGGGTATGACCTGGTAGGGATCACAGAAACTTA